TGAAGAAAGCCTCAATTATCTTTCTTTTAAAGTAGGAGACTGCTATGAAGGTTTGAATGCTGATTGCTCACTTTTTAAAAAACTTACAGTAGTAATACAAAAATAGCTTTAATAAAATTTAGAGTTCATGTGTGCATGTATGTCATGATGATTAGAACCCAGGGAATACAGTGCAGTTATAGCTCTGGGTTGGGGAAGCATGTACAACTAAGTGCCTAATCAGAAGCTTTACCTGAATAAAGATAAGTTAACCTACATTTTAAGTTTTTGTCACATCTGATGTCTTCTAAATGTCTTACCATTTTGTGTGGTGATACTCATAGACAAGCTATATAAAAGATACAAGTGCTCACTTAAAGCTTACTGGGCTGTACAGTAAATATCTAAAGTAAGAGCCACGAAACTAAAGAAATCTAAATGGATTGTCAAGATTCCTACAAAACTGAAGAAATAGAAATGGATTGTTACAAAACCTTGTTTAGTATTCCAGCCAGACATACTTTTCATTCTGCTCACCTGGTCTTTGTTCTATTCCTCCCCCCAGCCACCTACACTTACACTCAGTTATTATTCCATGCCTGTGGAATATGCTCAGTTGTCTACTTAGCCCAAGAAGGAGAGTGTATATGTGTATTTTCATCATATCATGGAGATTCTCCAGACCCAATGCAGTCTTCATCTTGTGTGTGGTTGGTTCATGGAATTGACACTCATGAGACCTTTGAATTGTCCAAGTACACAGTTTTTTATGTGTGTTTTTAAGCTATTTTATGTTGTTTGATCAAACATTTTTATCACAGAATTGTATTTTTTGTTTTGTTCTCCACATTTAGGGACATCAGTATGAACAATATAACAAGATTACCAGAGGATGCCTTCAAGAATTTCCCTTATCTTGAAGAGCTGTGAGTATTAAAACTAGCATACTTTGTGGTATGGAAACTGAATTAGTGGAGATTGGCTGAAGAATGCATTTATAACTAAATAGCAAACAAAGAGGGTACTGTGCTAATGAGAGAGAAAACAACTTATTTCTTCAAAGTCAGGTTACCATTTACGTGAGACCTTTTTATAGTAATTATTTTAATTGTGATTCCAGTGATGACATAGTCTAATTACAGTGCTGCCCAAAGATAATATGGGAGTGTGTAATTACCACAGTTTTAAGTGGAACTGTGCTATATTGATTGCATAACTTATATAAAATATGTGACAAATCCTTGTGCTTACTGTGTGCCTGGAACATCCAAATGATAAGGAAAAATATTTTGCCTCTGTCTAATTTGACAGCTAAAAAGCTAAAAAACAAGCAACAACAACAAAACTCCTCTTATCTCTCCAGTCCTTGCCACTATATCAGGGGCATACTTCAGAATTCCTAAAAGTAGTTAAGCAGAGATTCCCAGGAAATGTTATGACATACCTAGATCATCTAAGGAGACATGGTATCTTTTACCTTATCCAGTGCATGATCTCAGCTCATCAAACATTTGCTAACCAGTTTGCTTATCTTGCACATATGTTAATAATTTTGTAGCCTATTAGCATTAACAGGAAAAAAAAGTACCAACTCATTGTTTTACAAAAATCTCCCATTCTACTAAGAAATTATTGCTACTTACTGAATGTGATAGGATGGGAACTTCCCTGTAGTTGAGAACCACATTTTGCCTCTGAGTGTCGCAGAGTGCCACTGATGTCACTAGATGGACAATGATGAAATTTTGTTTTATTCTTTAGAGAAAGTTAACAAAAAACTGTTGTGTTAAGATTAGCCAGGCTACTTTATACTGGAACTGTAGTGCACAGTTATTGTAAACTGTAATAATTTTAGATTTCTGGTGCAACTTTCTAATATGAGTTGCTACCAAATAAAGAATTTAACATGTGTTTCTTTCAGTGTCCATCTTGTCCAGTTCAGAAAGCCATGGAAAATACATATATCATTATATATAATTTCCTTTAATAAAATGATAACATCCATACTAACCATAGAACTGTGTGGATAGTGTCATTATATAGTTTACTCACCACATGGTACTGGACTTGAATATTTGTGAGGGGAGTTGCAAATTTCCAGATTTCTCAATGTTTTTAAACCGAGGAAATTAAGAGGGAAGATTCTAAAATTCCCAGAAGCATAGAAACTGAAGAAAGCCTCACCTACCTATTCCAGTCCAAATTGTTGTTAATACAAAAGGCTCCACCCAAAGACAAAAGCCTCAAGGAAAGCCATACAAATAGTCTTTATTTCTAGAAAATATTTTGCTGACCTTTGATGCAACACTGTAGTTCACAGAGCAGGATTAGCTGAAAAACCTGAAACATCCTCTACTATGTATAATAAAACCACTAGTACTTGGGAACTTTATCTTAGAAGTTGAGAACTTTATGGGTGAGAACAGCATAGTCATCTGGGGCCATTTGTCTGCACTGTAAGACAAACATTCAAAACTCTTGTACCATCTGTAATATTTGCTGTTATAAACTTCATAAAAAGTATATTATAGAAACCAGAACTCAAGAACAGGTTCTGCTGAATACTGCAAATATTATTACAATTGTGTTCAACTGACTAGATAAAGCTCCTTTATAGTGGTTGTGGGCCTGCTGAATCCCTTTTTTATAACAGGCTTGGTTCACATTCTCTTTTTTTTATACTGGTTTAGAAATTTCTATTATCTGTTGTTCAGGTATGTTGACTAATATTTATACTATATTTCCTATACTATATTTACCATATTAGTAAGTTGACTAATATTTATACTATATATCCTCATGTCATGTTTGTTCATTGGTTTGTTTTCTCCCTCCCTCCACTATGAGGAAATTGTTTACTTCATGTTATTAATTATTACAAGGATACAGGTAGTCCTCGTTTAACGACTGTTCGTTTAATGAGGGTTTGAAGTTATGGCCTCAGAAAGGGTGCTTTACGGCCTGTAAAGCTCTTCCAACCATCAGAAAACGTCCCCCGTCCCCCCAGAGTTATGTGGCCGCGTTTTGGGCATTTAGTAACCGGTTCGCATTTATGATCGGTTTCCAAGTGCCCTGCAATCATATGTTTGCCATTTGCAATATTCTCTGCCAGCTTCTTCAGAAAATCAGTGGGGAAGCCGACAGGGAAGGTTGGAAGTGGAGGGGAGAGAGGGGAGCTGAAATCCTTCTGCAATCTGCAGGAACGGAGCTCAAATCCTGAAGATTTGAGCTCTGTTCCTCCAGCCCCATGAAGGTTTTCCCCTCTGTGCCCAGAGGGGAAGGGAAATCCTTTGGTGGACTGCAGGAACATTTGAGAGCAAAAAGGCTGCCTGCCAGATGGATGTCAGCTCTACGTGTAGCTGAAATCCTTTAGCAGGCAGCTCTTTTTGCTCTGTCCACTTAAGGACCCGGGAGATTGCTTAGCAACCACAACCAGGAGTGCCCAGATTGCAGTCGTTGAGCAAAGTAGTCACATGGGCATCTTGCTTAATGACCACTCAGCAATTGAGATTCTTGTGATGGTTAAGCAAGGACTACCTGTGGTCCTAAATGAGAGAGTCATAGTTTATACACAGATGAAAATCAGGGGAAATATGTGTATATAACTTACATAATAATATTAGTACTTAATAATCAGTAGCATGGTTCTAGAAATGTTATGCTAATTAATATAATGGAAATTCTTTCTTCTTTTGTGGCAATTACTCATCTGGAAGTAATTTGTAAAAAGGCATTAGTAAAAATCTGTAAAGAACCAAAGACTATCAAGGACTTTGCCATTTCCTTTAATGATATGTGTACTCTATATCATGCCAACATGAGTATTAGGGTTGTGAAAATCATTCCTGAAAGTTTGATGCAGCTATTTCAAGGCTTGTTCTAGTCTTCTTAGCATTTATGTACATGTGTACCTGCCAAGATCCCTTCACAAATTGTGAATCAGCTGTAATGAGTATGTTGCTGCTCTGAGTATTAGATGGGGACTAGAAAACCTGGGAGAGTTTGACAGCATATTTCTTGCTTTCCTTGGAAAATACGTACAGTTCTGTACAAATTTCTGAATGTGTTCCACAGAATTTAAAAAAAATTAAAGCAGTTGTAGCTATTACTCTTACTAGCTCAAATGCATTATCATTAAAGGATTTAAAATCCCAGAATTTGGAGTTCTTTGTAATTTAAAAGTGTACAGACTTTTCAGTAGTAATTTAAGATGGCACCACTTTTGGTAAGACACACACACACACACAAAGGACAAAAAGCATCCATGGGAGTATAGAAATGAAAGGATTATTTTCCAAAGAAGTGGATATGTACCTAAGGATTTGTTCCTGTGGGAGGTAAAAAAAAGCCCTGTTTATCTATAAAAGCCTTTTTAGAGATGAAACATGAAAATTCATGACATGAAGCTGGATCTAACCTAATGTTTTATAACTCTGCAGAGCATTTAAAAGAGGTATTTCGCAATGAAAAGTCCCTCCTTGAAGTATTAAAGTAACTGCATCCTTTGGAAGCTTCAAAGCCTATCCCATACTGTCTGTGCATTTGTGAGTGTGGACAGCTTTGCTGGCAGTTCTGGAGGAAGTGTATGAAGTGCACACTTATGCACATACAGACATCTGGGGAGAGTCTTTGAAGCAGCCAAGTGAGTGTTCCAAAATCTGCTCTAGTGCTTTCAAGGCAGTGCTTTATGTCTACTTTGGAAACACCTCTTTCAGATTCTTTCCACAGAATACTGTATTGTACTTCCCAAAGCCTCTGCCTTTTCAAAAACCAGCATTTGGATAGGCTAAACAAATATAAAATCTAGAAGTGCTTCTGTAATTGTACTGCTGAACTAATCTCCAGTTACTCAGGTTTGTTGCCGCAGCTTAATTTTTAATTTACGTTTTCTTTTACCTTATAGATAGCACCATGTAATATCTTACTTTATCATCTCTTGGATTTTAATTAAATTTTATCTAACCCTATAACAATTCAGTTGTTAGTTTTATAGCAATTTTGCAGCTTTCTTCTTACCATCTTTTAAAACTATAGTCACTTCCTTATGGGTTCTTGGGTTTTTTATGGTATAGTTGCTAATTCCACCATCTCTACATGTTTGCCTTGTGCTGATCAGAGACAGAAATAAAAGTATGTTGTAATTATTTTTGATCAAGCAGTCACAAAATTCTGCTTTGCTCTATCTCCCAATGCGAGTGACATTATTCTTCCAGAGAAACGTATTTGAATCTAGTTCTGCTACTGAAAGCACCGGTGTTCTTGATAGCTCAGAACCTCTTCCACCAGCCTTGATCAATAAACCCGTAGAATCTCTATCTGAACAGACTACATAAATTTAGTTAACTATGCCAAATAATATTTATTTATTTATTAGATTTATATCTCACCTTTATTTTCTCCAACTCAAAATGGCATACATAATTCTTCCTCCTACTTTGCCCACAGCAACAGCCCTTTAAGTGGGTTGGACTGATCGAGAGAGCCAGCTTTTGTGCCTAAAAGAGGACTAGTCTTTCTAGTTTCTAATTCCTAGTCCATCACCTTAACCACTACACCAAACTGACTATTATTATAACATGCGAAGGGTACCTTGAATCTTGGAACAGAGCCTAGAAATTTCAATTACTCCAAAATTAGGCTGCAAGGTTATTATTTTGTATCATTGGTTTGTCAGTCTTGCTGGCTCCTGTTAAGTTTCTGGGGCTTAATTCAAAATGCTGGTTTTAGTCTTTAAACCCTAAAATGTCCTGGGATCAGATTACCTGATGGATCACCCCCCAGCCCCATTATTAACCTACTTGAATATTTAGAAAACAGTTGGGTGCTATTGTATAACAGCTTTGGCAAATAATGCTTGGCAAATGTCTACCAGGGTGAGGTTACCTTCTAGCGATAGTACCTAGATTATAGAATGCTTTCTCCCTAA